AACCTTATTCTTAATGTAATTTGTTCTGTCTCTGTAGTTTGGACCATTTAGAGGAGGAATGTTACGTGGTGCCTGACCCACATAATACCATCATCCTGCCTTTTACTTGCATGTCATATACCACCAACAACCAGGATTTTATCCAGCACCTCTCTGTCTTGATAAGACAAGCAATTCAGAAATCACCCCCTTCCTCTGCAAAAACAGAAAGCGAAGGGAATCTTGTGAGTAATTCCAGAACAACAGACACTGAAGATGGCTATTTTGAAATGGGACTTCATGGAAGAGACCAAACTTTTGAATTTAGCACTACTTCAGATTCTTCAGCTTTTGATAGCACAGCAGCAGAGAGCACTGATGTAGTAAAAATTCTCTGGAATTTTTGTATTCAGGTTCATAAAGGACTCAGGCAGTTTGCCTCTTGTTTGGTTTTGACTGATAGTGTAATAGCTGTGTTTGAGATTCCTCATCATGGTTTGAAAGGACATTGTCAGCATATCCCTTCTGCTTTGAAGCTAGCACTGTGTTTCCCATATACTGATCTCTCAGAATTTGGCTTTCTCATGCCTGAAATATGTTTAACACTGAAACTGAAAAACAGTGACAACTGCCTGTTTATCATTTCAGACTCCCAAAATCTTCAAGATTTCTATTCCTGCTTACATACATGTTGCTCTCAACACTGCATGTCAATGTTATCAAGTTCCTCACTATATTGTGACAAAACAAGCCTGCAAGAATTTGTCCACCAGCTCATGGGGTTTTATCACATTTCATCAGATGACATTGAGATAAAAGGCTGCTTTCCAGCATATCTTGTTTACAGTAATAAAACTGACGTTCTAAAAACCTTGCATCAACCAGACTTGGTAGGTGATAACAAAGCGTGGTCTAAATATGCTTTGTGTTCTGCATTTTATTCCACGTTGTGTAAAAGTGCTGAACAGAGTCACTATGTGTTCCATCCTTGCTGGATATTTCTAACACCACAGCACTTGCACATAGTAAAGGTTGACTTCCATGGACTTCCTGGTAAATCCATAAACTCTGAAGATGCAAAAAATGTATTCAAACTGAGCAGGATTCCGCTAGCTTCAGTTGTGTTGCATCCTACCGGTCCTTCCATCCAGCAGAAAGGTTCATTTTCAGATGGACATGTGTTGGAGTTACTTATTGGATACAGATTTGTAACAGCAGTTTTTGTTCTACCTCATGAGAAGTTCCATTTTCTAAGAACCTACAGTCTCTTAAGAACATTTCTGCAGGAAATTAAGACAATAATTATTTTCAAAGCTTCAAACATGTTGGAATCTGTAAGGAATCATCTCTTAGATTCAGACAACTATAGCCAGAGAGCAAGGTAATGACTCCTTTAAAATACAGATGCTACAGTGCTAAATATAATATGGCCTAAATAGCTTACGGTTTCTGAAAACTTCTATTTACTTTGAACATGAATTTTGGTGCAATTGAGAATCAGGTCTCTGGTATTTGTGGAGAACAGTATTTTCTTTTATCCTGGATAGTGTTGTGTGACCTGTCATCTGGCATTGTACCTGCATTTTTCAGCGTTATGCTTATGGCCTCATGCAATAGAGCTTGGCATTTTGCCTGCAGTGTAGTATGAGTAACAAATGACAGAAACAGAGATGTTGGTGAAATTATGTATTTACTTGGATACAAGATGAGTTCCCCACCACCACCACCACCATGGCAGGGGGAAAAGCCACTCCTTATATTCAGATGCAAGAAAATTTCATTAAATACGGTTTCTGACATGGAAACCAGCTATGAAACTGATTTAAATGCAGCCCACACTGATCATGACTATAAAACATATGGCCCATGTGGGGCAAACATGCTGATGGGAACCTTTTTATTCTTATTATCATTTACAGATTTTATTAAAAACACCACATTTATCACCCTACAATTACAAAGCTTCACGTATTGAGCATCCTTGTTTTACCAAACCTTTGTATTGCAAAAACAACTAACATCCAAAAATATACAACTACATATATCAAACCCTTAAACAACATACTTCAGCTTCCCACAGAAAACCCTAGCAGAACTCTTTCTTCATACAGAACCCCATTAAAAAAGTATTGGCTCAATAACCACTTCAAATTCTCTGCCCCTCCCATCAGTCCTCTCTGTTGGTTCAGTGAAACAAGTGTGT